TTTATTAAAAGGTAAGACTGCCATTTTGGCAAGTTTACACCCTCGACATTTAGTAAGTTCACTAGGAGAAACTTTACCCAATATACTTGATTGAGCTAAAGATTGTAAGCGGTCAGCAGACAAATGCACTAACTTAGAATGTCATAAGTAGAAAGGACTGGACAGAGAATTTAACTGAAAAGAGGAAAAGGCAGTCGGAGAGGTTGTCATCGGCAAATGCAAGCCCTGCACCACATAAAGGTCTCTAACTCTACGGCCAGTCCCAATTTGCTACTTGGACATCTGATCCTGCACATAACAGATAGAAGAAAAAAAGATAACATCAAAACCAGAGGCATCAAGCTGACTGATAGATGACAGATAACTGAGGAATAGAAAGAACAGATGGAATAGAGACAACAGACATAGCAGACGGTAAGACAGACCCAATAGATATAACATACAGACCCAACAGATATAACAGACATATCAGACCAATTAGCAGCATTAACAGCAATAGGAAAGGGAGGGGGAGTACAATTTTGAAGTAAGAAGAGATGGGGAGTTATATGATGAGAGACACCAGAGTCAAAAATCTAGACAGACGAAGATGTACTTGAAGAAGACCTAAGCAAACCTGAATGAAGAGAGGAAACAACTAAAGCAGATGGGGAGGGCTGACTAATTTGGGCACTCAAGGAAGCTAAGTCAGGATCAGAAGACTGAGCAAATGCAGTATAAATGGTGGGAGGAGCATGAAACTGATTATGAGATTGTTGAAGAGACGGGGTAGGCAGACGTCCCTTCTTGGAACAGTGATACTTCCAATGGCCCCTTTGATGACAAAAGACATACTCATCATGTCACGACCCCATTCCGCCCCTAGTAGGATGGTGCCGTGATGGCCAGTAATCTGAGATTACCGAAGGCCAACTTTCAAAATTCACACACAATCAGAGAATTACGTATGGGGCTAACATGTGCGGAAGCAATATATATATACAAATCTAATTAGTCCATAAAAGCAATGCATAAGTTAAATGGAATGGCATTCATCTTTGCATAGCTTTAATACAACAAAATGAAGTACAAAAAAAATACATCTTGACCAGAAGGCTTCTCAGCCATAAAATACAAAATACAATAAAGTACAACTAAAAAGCATAATCTTCAAGATGCTGCAAAAGTGCAAAATTCAAAACAAGTGGCAAGTACATCTAGGCGTCACCGCCGTCCTGCTCGTCACCTACATATATATATATATATATATAGAGAGGGGTGAGTTTGGATACTCAGTGAATGGTATAAATAATAAAGGTTTTACATGAATGATATCCGAAATCTTTATCAAATCAAGGCACATCACATCTTGTATAAAATCCAAGGGCAAATCAAGTTTATCTAACAAGTCTTTCAAGGCTTTCAAGTTCCAAGGGATGACATTTGTCAAAACCAAGCTAATACTTGATACACAAAATAGGGATAGTCATTCATGCTTAACAAAATACTTTTCCAAAACAAGCAAGGCAAAACTTTATCAAAACTTAATAACATAACTTTATTAGAAATACCACTCACTTAGTTCTTTAATGTCGGGGTCAAGCGAGAGTCCAAGTCCTACAAACACATAACAAGTCCCATTGAATGCACTATCAAACAAGCTTTACATGAATGCAAATGACCTCAGCATTCTCCAAAACTAAGTCAAATCAAAACAAAACACAGTTTCCTATCTCGAGGAAAACATGCTGGGCAACTACCAGGTCTAGGCCGAGGTCCCACACCTCCTTGCCGAGGTGTGGCCTCGATGGCCACATGCAAGGAAATGAAGTCGGGAAAAATCTGGGTTTCCCTCTCTTGAAGAACATGACGAACATGAAGAACATGGACATGAGGAAGATGAATGTAAAGATCATGATTTGCTATTACAAAAATCTGAGATTTCATGCTATGAATTCAAAACATGGACTTGGACACCCATATTCAAGGATCTTGTGAGAACAAACACAAAAACATGAATCTTAATGCGAACTTTCGGATCAAACAAGACTTTTTCTTCAAAAACACATGAGCACTATTTTCTCTTTCTAAAACCAAACTTTAAATCAATGCATGACGTGCAACACAGGTTCGATCATGCAACGCAGCTAGATGATCAATAAGAACAACAAGAGTAGATTAAGAATCTAACCTCAATACACGAATCTAACGGTTTGATCTCTATGAATCAAGCTCGAAAGCCCACTCTCTCACTCTAAAACTTCTTCTTCTTCTAGAGCTTCTCTCTCCTCACAAACAAAGGCATATAGCAAATGACACATTTATAGGTCTGCTGGCTGACTTAACACTCAGCTGGGACACGTGGCACTACCGGGTTGGTTCTCCTCAAAAAGGTGGCTGAGTGAAAAGATAAGACTATGGCAAAGTGTGTTCAACAAGCAAGATGGCATAGGCACTCCGGCGGGTAATGACCTCGGCTAAGAACAAGACATCGGCAAGTAGGGGAACAATGATCTCGGCTAGGAAGGACAACACTTGACTAAGCTGTGCCACACCTTGGTCTAGGTCATACCACTCCAGGACAAGATCACTTAGGCGCAAAGGTAACATCTCGGCCTAGATAATACACATCTCGGCCTTGGTGATGAACACCTCGGCCCAGATAATGACATCTCGGCCAATATGTCAGGGCGAAGGTGGAGGTCAAACAAAGTGGTTCCAAGATAATTCTAGACTGAAGATGACCTCGGCTAAACTCACACCAAGTAAGGTACAAAACATGCGAGAAACACTTAAGCAAGACAATTCAAGGTTTGCGAAGATGCAATATATCAAGACAAGATCATGTAATATATGCAAGCATGACTAGGGTAGAGTGAGGGTTGTTACACATCAATAGCAAGAGACATTATAATGACCAAACTGAGGGGTTTATGTTTAATAAATCTAAAATAGAACAAATAGTCAAACCAGGAGTCTAATCGTAATAACCAAAAAAAACTTGTGAACCACCAGAACCAAAGTCACAAACAGAGCTAGATACTAGACCACGCGAACCAAAGAGACTGAGGGAGAGAGACCTCACGACCTTGCAAACTGAAGTGAGAGAGAGAGAGAGAGATGACAAATTAGAAGTCGACTTGAGCCAGTAGATGAGTTGACTTGAACAGAGGACTAGACGAACCAAATGGGTCGTTGAGCCAGAGACCGCAGAGGGAGAGAGGTCGAAGTCGAGAGAAGCCGAGGTAGATAACTCATGCACAAGAACAGTGATCGAAGCACACAGAGGCAAGGAGAACCAGATATTGATCCAGGAACCAGATGAACCATTACTTCGATGACCTAGAAGCCAGATAAGGTCGTGTCGCGGATGAAGACGACGATGACGGCATCACTAGGGTTTTGAACTAGCTTTGATACCATGCAAGTTTCTGAATAAACCTGTATGTTCAATTATGTATTTGATTACAACAAGGCCCTAGATTATATAGCTCTAACTCCTAAACCGAAAAAAGGAAAACACAATCTGCCTCAATCACGCCTATACACAATCACGCCTATAATATGTACAACTACAATCATGCCAAATATAGAATATGCACAATATATTCTCACATGTATGCCTGGCTTTCAATTTCACCACCTTTAACTCAATTCTTGTGTTTAAACTCATAATCCTCTTGAATTCATAAGTTAGATGGCTTAAATTCATGAATTAAGGTTCAAATACTTACCTAAGGTCTTCTATTTAGCTTAATTTGGCAAGAATTTGAGTTCTACTTCACAATTCTTCAATTCTTTTGCAAAAAAATCCAAGCTTTCTAACTTCTCTCTCTCTAGAATGGCCCTTCTGTCTCTCTAGAACTCTTCTCCTCAGATTTTGTGATATGGAGATGAGTTTATAATGCTTAACACGCACACAAACACATGCGCGCGCGCGCACACACACACACATATATAAGTTAATTAGTTTAGGATGCTAATTAAGATTTAAGCACTAATCAAGGCTTAAATTTAACTAATTAAAAATTAATTTTTCTGAACTGAATCAAATTTTGATCAATCTTCCCAATAGGCTTTAAAAATTATGTCATTCTAGTTAAACTTACCAATTTCGGTTTTTGAAGTCATTAAGACCTTCAATTTCAGATTTTAGGTAGAGATCACAACAGATATTCCAACAGTGAACAAATATGCATTCATGTACACATTAAACACATAAATAACATTCAAAATTAAATAAATAAATGCATGTTACGTAATGGGGTTGTCACAAGCATAGCATTGAAAAATGATTATAGCTACCCATGATCATGTTAATGAGATGTAGTTCTTAGTGGCATATAGATAGTTTGATGAGGCAGTCTTGAAGATGTCATTTTAATAAAGTTTTGATTGCATCTTGAAAATTACAATCTATTGTGTTGATTTTCTCATATTTTCAATGTTTACAAGGTCACATTGAAGGAAACCTGATATCTTTGATCCCCTTGTTCCACTGCTGATATATTGTTGAAATTTTCTTTAACTCTTTGTAACCAAAAGATTATGGTATAGCATTGTATGCCATAATTGAATTTATAACTTATGGAGGTGGAAATTTTTATTAAACCACTGAATTGTTGTCAAAGGTGCTTAGCTGGTCACTTGTCACGCAGGCAAGAACCTAGACGGTTTGTCATTCAATGAAAGCAACCATGGCCATTGGCCAAGGTGACCAAACCGGTCCTTTTTTCGGTTATCAGAAGACTTAAGTTGGATAGCTTGTGTTATTTCATGCTTGATCTTCATTATGAAAAGGATTCTAGTGCACTTACCATGTGCCCATTTTATTTTAAGTTCTCTTTGTATGTGCCAATTGTTGTTTTTATGCTTCTTGTTGCAAACAATTTATCTTTTTCTTCAATCTTATATCTTATGCAATTTTTTACAGTAAGTAATATGATGCTCTTAGATTTTATATTTAAACTACTTTTAAATTTTCTGAAATGCACATTCTGACGCTATCTTTTTTTATCTAGGTTGCTGATGATTCAACCTTGTATGGTTGCTGTTTGTTAGTTGAGGAAATAATACAAAAACCCTCTGGATTGGTTTCCATGATCTCAGATGGACAACCATTCCATTTGGGTTTAAGCCACTATATATTAACCACACGGCGGTGTTATTGCATTCTTTCGAGGATTCCATATTTCGAGCTGCATTTTGGTGTATTGAATAGGTAGTTCAAGTGATTATGGCTTCTGCAGCCTACCTCATGCCTTACTTGTTATAGAAAGGCGTACTTAGAGCTGATCTGTGGCGTTGTTGATGTTTAAATTCAATGGATATCTTCTCTTTATGTAATCTTTGCATAATGTGCTCAGTTGAAGTGTAGTTGCTGTGATTTTAGAATATCCTGGCCAAAAATTTCTGCATCCCATTGGAGAATTTTGAACTTTCTAAAACAGCCTTTTAATTTAGTAGCGGCAGTACTGTGTAGGGAGTGGGGATGCAGAAAGTGTTAGATGTTCAATACTGAGGAGGGAGAAGAACCTAGAATTCACAACATGGTTTGCTTCCAAAAACATATATAGAAAGTATGTGTATGTAAATAAATGCATGCATGTAAACATTTCGCTATACACATGGATTTTTAAATGTATATCTATACCTGATACTAATTGCTGAACTAGATCAGTCTTGCAAGTAAGCATAGGTCGTACTTTGAATTATATAAATATGTACGTAAAAACATAGAATATAATAAATGTTGCTTTAGAGAGGAGGAAAATAAACATGGACATGGCTTTTGATTTTAGGTTAAAATGCTAAATGAAATCTTTCTTCTTTTAATTTTTTTTCTTTTTCTTTTGTATGCATTGTTTAAGTTCTTTCGAGCCTTTTGGTGATGAATGGATTCTGAGTTTTTAAGAAGGTAATATTGTGAACTTTTTGTTCTCGCGTCCAGTTGCTTAATAATCAATGTTAATCAAATATAAATTCTGTTTGTGCAACTTCTGCCCCCTGTTCCCAATAGAAAAATGTATGCTGGATTTTTTGAATATTTTGAAATTTCATATTATATTTTTATATTCTTGTATTGCCTGTATTGACCCCTCCTCTCTCTCTCTCTCTCTCTCTCTTTTTATTCCCTTGTAGTATTTTGACTGAAGAAAGGTTGGAATGGTTAACAATGGGTATTAGTGATTTAGATTTGGAATCAGCTGAGATGGATTTCAAGGAAGAAAATTTAATAGAAAACTCTGATGGTATTTCATTGGAACATAGAGCAAACAACATGCTGAATGGACCCGTAGATACTTCCCAGTTAAGCACAAGTGATTCTATCCCTCAAGAAGTCATGGATGATGGGTGTCACGTGGAGCACCAAATGATTGAAAGTAACATGCACTCGCTGAAGAAAGATATGAACGACAATGCTGTTATCCCAGTTGATCCTGAAGTAGAGAAGCTTCTAGATAAAAGAGAATCTGGGGCTGCAAGTGAGATATCTCAAGCTGATTGTAGTCGTGTTGATGATTTTGTGAGTAACAAGCAACTGGTGGAAAGGTGTCGATCAAATGCTGTTTTGCCACCTCTATGGTATCAACAGAATGAAAGCTGTGAATCTTCCTCAAGGTACATTGTTGTCGCTCTTCACTGTCATTGAATCAGTATTCTCTTGATGCAATCAATGTATCCTAAAGGCTTTTTGGCATGAGCATTTAAAATTTTACTGTTGCTAAAGCATAAAAATGATTCTTTCTAAGTTAAACTAAAATCTATCTTTTAGTCAAGTGGAATCTGCAGGAGATTCCTCTTATCAATCTATTTTAGAAGTCATAGAATAAGCTAACTTTATTAGATGTCAGTGAAAAGGAAGGACCTCTTAGTATTTTTCTTTTGGTTTGTATCTTTGAGAAAAGTGCTTAACCTAAAAGGGGCATATCTAGGCATACAATCCAAGGATGGAGACCATCCAGAGCTGCTTCGTATATACTGTAAGATTTTTGAATGTTTTTCTGTATATTCAATTGTTTATGTAATACAAGAATACATTGATTTATATAACAATCTAACCCTAGAATGAAAAAGGAAATATGAGTTATTCACTCAATCCCTAATATATATAAAATATATATATTACCGTATATACGTAAAATACCTAATATTCTCATACCGCCGCTCAAACTCAAGGTGTTTTAGCAGAAAACACTGAGAGTTTGCCAAGAAGAAACTGAAACCGAGTAGTGGTGTGAGTTTTGGTGAAGAAGTTAGCAAGTTGCAGAGTTGAAGTGACGAAATGAAGTGAAATCGAGCCAGACTGTAGATGCTGTCGGACAAAGTGACAATCAATCTCAATATGCTTCGTCTGCTCATGGAAGACTGTTATGGGCAATCTGAATAGCACTGCGGTTGTCGCAATAGAGAGAGGTCAGAGAAGACTGAGGTACACCTAAATCAGATAGAAGACAATGAAGCCAAACAATCTCAGCAATAGCATGAGTCATAGCACGGTACTCAGCTTCGGCAGTAGAGTGAGCAACAACGGTTTGTTTCTTGCTTTCCCAAGAGATCAATGAATCGCCAAAAAACATACAGAAACCAGACATGGACTTGTGATTAGTGACATCACCAGCTCAATCAGAATCAACATAAGCCACCAAATCCAAAGAGGAAGTAGAAGACAACAGTAAGCCCTGAAAGATAGTACCCCAAAGGTAGTGAAGAATCTGAACCAAAGCAGCCCAATGTGTAGAATGAGGAGCAGAAACAAATAGGCTAACCACATGAATATCATAGGCAAGATCAGGACGAGTAATTGTTAGATAGACCAAGCAACCCACAAGCTCTCGATATAAAGTAGGATCATCCAGAGGAACATCATCAGTAGTGTTGAGCTTTATATTAAGTTCAATGGGGTAATTAGAAATCTTAGTGTCAGTAAGACCGGTCCGATGAATAACTTCATTGGCATACTTGGCCTCAGACAAAGAGTAGCCGTTGGGAGAAGAAGCGACCTCAATACCAAGAAAATAACTCAATGGGCCCAGATTCTTCATTTCAAAGGTGCGAAAGAGGTGCTACTTGACCTCAGAGATAGCAGAACAGTCAGAACCAGTGATGATCATATCATCTACATACAGTAATAAGGCAACAAAACCAGTAGAGGTGTGAAAGAGAAACAAAGCGGAGTTATGAGCACAAGGATGAAACCCAAGCTTAGTAACAACTGTCTGAAAATGATCATACCAAGCACGAGAAGATTGTTTCAAATCATATAGAGTACACCATAGACCATAAACTTGTTTAGAGGAATGAGGAAGGCCAGGGGGAGGGCACATATAAATCTCCTCAGTGAGATGGCCAATAAGAAAAGCATTCTTAACATTCATCTGATAGAGAGGCCAATGACGAATAGCAGCGACAGAGATTAAAGTATGGACAGTAGTCGTTTTGGTAACAGGGGCAAATGTCTTCTCATAATCAATACCATACTCCTGTGAGAAACCTTTTGTAACTAGGCGAGCTTTGTAGCGCTCGAGAGAACCATCAAAATGAGTCTTGACTTTATAGACCCATTTACAACCAACTAGATTCTTGCTAAGGAACCAGCTACCAAGTAGTAGTCTTTTGCAAGGCAGACAACTCATCTTCCATTGCTCTAATCCAATTAGGATCCATACAGAGTTCCTTGTATGACTGGGGTTCTGAAAAAGAGTGAATAGCAGACAAAAAGGTGCACTATGAAGAGAAAAACATGTTTTAGTAAAACCAAGTTTGTCTACTTGCTTCCAGCTGCGAAGGGGATACTTACGGTTGGCAAGATCAGAGTCGTCAGAGGCAGGAGGATCAGCAGTAGGGGTAGAGATAACCGGTGAGGAAGAGCCTTGCGACGGGAATAGATTAACAACGGAGGAGGAGACGGAGATGAAGCCAGAGGGGAAGGAGAAAGGGAAGGAGAAGGAGGAAGAAGAGAAGGGGGAATAGACTCATGGAGGTTAGTGGAGAGGGACTTAGTAGGAGGGGTGGTAGAGGGAACAAGCTCATGGGAAACAGTAGAGGTGTACTCATCCAAAGGGATCTCAGAAGGAAATGGATCAATGTGAATCAAATCCTCTTTGGAAACTGGAGTAGTAATAGGGGGAAGCTAAAAGTAAGACGTTCACGAGAGGCAACATGATGGGAGACCTAAAGGTAATGAGAAATAAGGTCATAACAGTGATAGTCTTTCTGGGTAAGACTGTAGCCTAAAAGGACAAACAGAGCAGATCAGACACTAAGTTTGGTCCTATCTTTACAGGGAAGAAGGACAAAACAAGCAGACCCAAAAACACGCAGGAAGGAGTAATTGAGAAGTTGGGAGAATAGAGCCTCATAAGGGGAACGACCAGAGAGTATGGGAGTAGGCATACGGTTTAGAAGAAAAGTAGCAGTGAGAACTGCTTCACCCCAAAAAGGAGCCTGAATAGAGGCAGAGAGAAGGAGTGACCTTCTGTTCTTGAACAGTTTTGAACAGTTTTGTTTTAGGCTTGTGCCAATGGTTAAGTTGGTCTAGATTATGTTTCTGTTCATGTTTCCTATCTTTTGATTGGAATACGGATCTTGAATAGTTTTGCCTTCTTGGTTGGTTTTGTATTTAGCTGCTTTAGGTCCTGGGGTATGCCCCTTGTAATCTTGTAAATCTTTTGTTTTTTATTTATGACTTATTCACCCCAAAAAAGAGAAGGAGAGACCTAACTGTTTCAAGGAGATGACGGTGTTTATGCTCAGTGTGACCATTGTGGGCGGGTGTGTCCATGCAAGAGGTTTGGTGAATGGTACCCAAATTGGCTAAATACTCACAAGACTCAGTTTTAAAATATTCTCCACCCAAGTCAGATCGTAACAATTTAATGGTAGCCTCAAACTGTGTAGTGATTGTAGACTAAAAGGTATATGATATATTTGGTAGAAGTCAGATTTATGAGTCATAAGATAAACCCAAGTATAACGGGTGCAATCATCAACAAAAGACATTTAGTAAGCAGAACCCCGTTTAGTGAGAACAGGAGAAAGTCCTCAGACATCAGTATACACAACAGAAAATGGAGAAACAAAAACAGAAATACTTTTATTAAATGGTAAAGCTGACATTTTAGCAAGTTTACACCCCCGACATTCGTCAATTTGACTAGGAGAAACTTTACCTAATAATCCTGATTAAGCTAAAGACCGTAAGCGGTCAACAGGCAAATGACGTAGGCGAGAATGCCATAAATAAAACTGACTCGACTGAGAATCTAACTGAAACGAGGAAAAGGCAACTGGAGAGGTGGATAGAGGGAGATACAAGCTTTCTATCACATAGAGATCTCCAACTCTACGGCCAGTCCCAATCTGCTTCTTGGACACCCGATCTTGCACACAACAACAGACTAAAAAGGGAAAGATAACATCAAAACTAGAAGCATCAACGTGATCGATAGATAATAAACTGACAGATGGCTCAGGAACATAAAGAACAGAGGGAATAGAAACGACAGACATGGCAGAGGGTAAGACAGAACCAATAGATAGCACAGGCATACTAGACCCATTAGCAGTAATAGGAAAGGGAAGGGGGATACAGTTTTGAAGTAAGAAAAGGTAAGGAGTCATATGATGAGAGGCACCAGAGTCAAAAAGCCAGACCTTAGTTGCACGAAGCGGGGGCAAAGGCAGGAGCGGGGGAGCGTGAGCCGATAGAAGTTTTTTAGGTTGGAAGCGCCTCGGGGAGCGCTTATATATATGTGTGTGTGTATATTATGTATATATAAATAAAATTAATTCAAAAATTCAGCATGTATTTGTTTTTTGGAGTGGCTTTATTTAAATATGTTAAAAATATGTTTAGTTTGGTTTGATTTGATTTTTAAAAATAAAAAATATAATTGGTTTGGTTTGATTTGACTTTACTTTTAAAAATATAAAATATGGTTAGTTTGGTTTGATTTAACATTTAAAAATATTGAAAATGATAAAATTAACATTGAAAAAGTTTTTTCAATTTGTTTTGATGAATATGCATATTTTATAATTATGAACTGAATATATATAATTAAATTTATTTATTGTGCCATAAAATTATAAAAAAAAATCGTTAAGCGATAATAAAAAAATACAAAATAACACTATTAAAATTATAAAAAATAAGCATTTAAAAATTGGTTCCTATAATAAAATTAATAAACACATATTATTAAAATTAACAAAACTAATCCAAAAAAATAAAATTATAGAGAGAAGAAATTATAAAATGAAATCAGAAAAAAAGAGGAGAGAGAGAGAGAGAGAGACATATGTTACACCCACTGAGTCACTGACCATATAAAAGAAAACAAAATAAAAAAAAGAAGATAAAAGTTCAACGCATAGGAGAAGAGAGAGAGAGAGTGACTACGAGAGTGGGAGCGAGACGGCGACTGAGACAGAGAAAGAAGATCGGAGAAGATCGAAGAAGAAGAAGAAGATCAAAGAAGAGCAGCGAAATGTACCTTAGAGAACAACCGACAAACGACGACGAGCTTGAACGACCACCGAAAACCGACCAAGTCTTCTCTCTTTCTCTTCTGTGCTTCATAGCTTCTAAGTTGTATTATTTCCACTAACGATCACATCTTGGACAGGACCATGTTTCTCTCTCTACAGAAACGCTATTCTTACACATTTCTTTCTAAGAAACGCGAAATCATGTTTCTTACGAAGATTCGTCACCTAGTTGCACGATTATTGCAACTAAGAGCCAGACAGAAGAGGAGATACTTGAAGAGGACCTAAAGAAACCTGAATGAAGAGAGGTGAGAGCAGAGGCAGATGGGGATGGTTGGGAGGTGGACAAGACATGTTGAAGTTGAGCAATCTGGCACTCAAGGAAGCCAAGTTTGTATCAGGAGCCGGAGTAATTGTAGTATAAGCAGCATGAGGCCGAAAAGTAGTTGGAGGAGGACCTTGAAACTGTATCTGAGGCGGTTGAGAAGACTGACTAGACTGACGTCCCTTCTTGGGACATTTGTACTTCCAATGGCCCTTTTGATGGAAAAAGGCACACTCATTAGAGGCTAGTGGCCCCTTCTTAGGCTTTGCAGTGGCCTGAAGCTGACGAGGTGGTGTGGTCGACAACAGAGGAGGTTGAGTAGGAGCCAAGAAGACAGATGGAGATGGAGTCTGACTGGCCGTCTTAAGACAGGTTTCCTTGGAGAGGAGCTCACGAACAATAGCATCTACAGAGGAAAGAGGAGATTGATAAAGGATGCCACCACGGATAGCCTCGTACTGAGGGGAGAGAGCTGTTAAGAATTGCACTAAACGACCCTGCTCCTGAAACTCAATGTAAGCATCTAGTGCCTTGAGGCTAGATGGTTCCATGAGAGCCAACTAATCCCAAAGACCTGTCATTTTAATGTAGAAGTCCTGAATAGATTGATCCTGCTGACGAGCACTCTGAATAGCTGTTTCCAACTCATAATGCTTGGCAAAGTTGGATTGTTGATACACACCCAATAAATAGTCCCATACCTCCTTGGCAATACTGTATTTGGAAAACATCATTCTAATACGGTTATTCTCAGAATTATGAAATCAGGTCAGAACTTGGGCATTATCACAATCTCAAGTGTCACAGGAAGTCAGATATCCTTTTACTTTCAGGTCCAATGGATGAGGAACAGAACCAGAAACATAGCCCTATTTTTTGTGACCAAGAAGGAAGTTCTTCATAACACTGGCCCAATAAGCATAATTGGGACCAGTGAGTTTACATCTGATGGCTTGGATTTTGGTGTCTGTCATTGTAATAAACCAAAGATTAACATGTTGAAGTATAATAACCAAATAACAAGTGGGCCAAACTATAAATAAGAGGTTTTAACCAAATAACAATACTGAGAGAATCAAATCCCGAACACACACACAAACGCACACACACACACATAGAGATACAAACAGAGTAGCACGTAGAAGTTGATTAAGAGGGACAGAATCAAAGAGCTCTTCGATCGCGTGAACCAACGTTAGAGAGAGAGAGTTTAGTCGAACCACGATCGTGATTCCACAGAGAGAGAAGGTTCTGATGATCATGAACCGAAGTCAATCGACCTAGGAAGACCAGACCACTTGACTTCAACCAGCAAAGACGAGGTACGACTTCGACTGAGGGACTGAATCAGTGATTGAACTGATGTCACGATGCAAACTAGAGAATCAATGTCGAGATCCAGAGAGACTAGTCAAGAACCTATTTCAATATAGCGATTGGGGGAGAAGATCAACCACAACTCCCGACTGAGAGAGCAACAGTTTCTAGGGTTTTTGGCTCTGATGCCATCTAAGATTTCTGAATGTTTTTTCTGTATATTCAATTGTTTATGTAATACAAGAATACATTGGTTGATGTAACAATCTAACCCTAGAACGAAAAAGGAAATACGAGTTATTCACTCAATCCCTAATATGTGCAAAATATATATACTACCATATATACATAAAATTCCTAATATATTCTCACATATCCATGTGTCACTAAAGTTATTTTGTAATGTTATCTAAAAGTATAAGTTTGCTTTTGTTAATAGATACCTTGACTTAATTGATTTTCTAATTTGTAATATATCACAACTGAAGGGAATTGTGTATGTAGTGTAGGAATTTTTTAGAGCTAACTTGATACTCTTTTCATGGAAGCGACATGGTTGATCACAAATTAATCCAAACCAAACCAAACCAGACTAAACCTTGTGTCCCAATCAAGTGGGGTTAGCTATCCTTTTTCGCCATTTTACTCTGTCAAGGGCTATATAATCTGTAAATTAAATAAATCCATATTATTTTTTACTACTATGTCCTATATCAGTTTAGATCTTCCCCTCCTCCTAACATTTTCATTTATGGTGATCATATCACTCTTCCTTATCATTGCATCTATAGGTCTTTGTTGTACATGTCCAAATCATTGTGACATGTTCCCTCTCAATTTATCTTCAATTGGTGCTACTACCATTTTACGATTACGAGCTACTGTTAACATGATGTATGAACTGTTTGATGCAGTTTTCAGGGTTTTCCTAGAGAAGACAGAATTTTTAGGAGTGACATCAATGAAGCAGAAATAGAAGAGGCATCCTTTTCTGGTCAGGAATATTACAACGACCACAGTGATATTCTTGAATGGGCTAAGGTTTACATCTTCTATAAGACATTTCCTTGTATCCTTCAGCCCTCTGCCATATATGTTCATATGCATGAATTCTTCTCTTGTTATTAGCATTCATTCATTTTTTTCCTCCCTACCATTTTCAGGCAAATAACAATGGATCCTTACAAATAATATGTGAGTATTACCGGTTACTTTGCCCTGCTAGGGGTTCAACAATTACATTCCACCCTTTGGAGCACCTGCATCCTTTGGAATTTCATAGACCTGATGAAGCGGTTCTACATATTGCTGGGTCAAAAATTGATTTGAAATCACACAGCCTTATTTTGGAATTACCAGAGGTACATGTGGTTATGAATAGCGATGACAATGAAATTAAGCTCTCTCTCTCTCTCTCTCTCTCTCTCTCTCTCTCTCTTCTTTTTATAAATCTAATCATAAGTGTTTACCACTTACCTGTTTTTGATTTGTCTAGGCACAGAGTGCACTCATGGCAGAGGAGGAGGCAACTGCTTTATCCGTATGGGCTGTTGCATGTCTATGTGGCTTCTTACGACTTGAGAATGTAAGTCTATCCACCAGTTTGGTAGTAGAAATGCTAATGTCCTTCTAAGAGTCATTCTTTTCCCATTCTTTTGATTGTTGTTGATTTGTGTGATCAACTTGCTATTAACAATGTTATAAGTCGATAAAAAAGGGTGACCCAGCATGTGAGGTCCTGCTAAAGCAGTGTCTGGGGAGGGGAGGGCAAGATGTATGTAATTTCATGTCAATAAAAAAATGCCTGCATTTGCTTCATCAAGAGTTTTCCCTTTTTTGAACAACAATGAATCAATAGACATATTGCACGATGTTGATAAAGTCAACTGAATGCGAAGATGTTGATAACTTCTTTCTTGTACTTAAATGTCCTTTCAAAATGCTGTTTATCAATTTCAACCTGGACCTTATTGGGATTATGTTGTGGCCAATATATTTCAGATTGCTCCCTTTTTCCCCTTCCTGCTTCAGGAACTTGTAGTGAAGTTTCTCTTTTGTGGTTTCTTGTCTTCAATTTGAGGGGAAAACAATTTAAAATATGGTTAATTTTGTTCAAGTCAAATGTAGTACATGACCAAGAGGAAAGCAGAAATAATTTTCCATAATGTTATGAGGGAAGGCATGAGGAGCTCTGATTTAATTGAAGATATTGCTTTAGATAAACTAAATGATGAAATGAACTTGTGCTATAAATTCTTTGCCATGAGTTGGGATATGACTCTCTTTAGTTTGTTATCTTAAATGACAACTGAACTCGCAAGAACAAAGGATATTTTTTTGTTTTTTGTTTTTTGTTTTTGGGTTTTTCTTTTTGGGCTGAAAGGAAATGAATGACAAGGATTACATATCTACAATAAAACAGGAGGATCATCAAATATGATTATTGATTGAGATCCATTGACCAAGAAGGGCCAGGAATACAAACTCCAGATATATGGAAAGCCAACCATGATGGAGTACCATGACTGTGACTGGCATTGTGTGGCTTTTATGTTCGCACTTCTACCTGCTTAAGATTAACACCGTAAAACAAGATTTATCAAACATTTTGAGACTGTCACTAAAGCACATTGTATGTTTTTGTGAGTGTCTATAAGTCCTGCTTGGCACATGGGCAAAAGGTGTTAGGGTATTATCAAATCACAGAAGTATCACATATTAGAGAACATAGAAAAAGATTGGATACAGAATCTGTTTTGAGATATTCTTATGGAACTCAAAATAGTTTTGAGTATTTTGTGATAGCTTCATTAATTATTTTATATCAATGTCTGCTAGTATATATCATTTCCAAAGTGGGGAATATGTGGTTTTTGGTGTACTACATGGATTAGAGGCACCTTGGTTAATAGTCTTATTGGCTTTCTGATAGGCAGTGGCGGATCCAGAAATTAGGAATAGAAACTCATGTACACTTGAGCAAGTTTGGTTGGCTTGACAACCTGTTGAAACAATTGGTAACTCATTTCGGCTTGAGCTCTTAACATGAGATCCACAACCCAAACCCATTCCAAGTAAAGCCAAGTTCCATGGTTAATATTTATTTTTACATAATTATACATAACCTAATAATAAAAGTAGAGTTCAAGAGTTGTGTTCAGAGTTATGAATTTAAATAAAAAATTTGAGTGCTAATCATTGAAAGAGAATAACTATAGAATAGTTTTAAATATGGATTTTAAGATTGAATTTGAGAACTTTACCATTAATATATGATGGATTTAAAATAACAATGGAAAAGTAGTTATTTAAAAACATTCATGGTAATGATTATAGTTGTAAAAATAATTATGCTTTTGTTTTGCGTTTATTTTTTCGAGTTTCTCAACCTATGTATAATAGCTAACTCCTATATGGAGGTGTATTGAGGAGACCATAGGTGGGGTTACCCTTTTTTTATAACGTTTAGGTCTTGTCTGGGATCATCTAAAAAAGTTGTTTTTTTGGCTATATGAGCCAAAAAACAAAAACAAAAACAAAAATGTGTTTGGGAAGAGCTAAAAAAGCAACTAAAAAGTCAAAAAATTCAACTTTTCTACTTACAAAAAAATTGAAAGACATTCAATTTCAATAATATTTCTTGTGATAAAGATTGAAACTGAAAAAATGAAACCAGTAATACACCTGATTGTGGCCGTAGATTATATATTGTGAGTTGTGGTAACAAAAGGGCTGAAAGGTTATATGATATTTGTTGAGTGTTAGGTTATTTTAGTACTTTTGTAATTATGTTTATTAATATAAATACTAGGGACTAAGAGGCTAACCCTAAGTTTTGGGTAACTCTTTTTCCAGTAGCAATTCTCTCTCTCTCTCTCTCTCTCTCTCACGGTTCTTTGTCTTCTTCTACTTCTCCTATAAAATTAACATGGTATCAGAGCTTAATCTTCCTCCTTGAAGATTAGGTTTTTTCCTCTCTTTTCCTTCCTCTTGTTTTTTCATTTTTACAGTACACAGTCGCAAAAAACAAAAAATAAAAAAAATCTCCCATGAACGAAATTTGATGGGTTTTCTTCCTATGATTTTACTTTCATTTTTGGATCACTATTTGGTTGTTTTTCAATTTTTGTTTATTTTTTGGAAAAACGGGGTGTTTTTCTGGAAACCCTTGCTCCAGCGGTTTTAGGGCTGATTTCTCTCTTCATTCCTCATCCTTGGGAGCTGACTGAACCAGCAGAGGTGTGGGCTGCTCCTGTTTTGATGGTTTTGTGAGGTTTCTGTGAGTTTATGTGTGTTTCGGAGCCAACTAGACCTTTGATTGCGCTGTTTGCTTCGTTCAGGTGTGGCTGCTGGGATAATTTACATTATTGCAGCACTGTTTTAGACCCTAGAGGTAAGTTGCTGTTCCAGTTGGGTTGTTTCAGAGTTGTTTGCTTCCTTGCTTTGGTTTTTTCATTCCTTTTCTATGGCTGAGGATAGTGGATTGGCTGAAGGCGAGAGTGAGGCACCTAAGAGCGCTGAGGAGAGTGGATTGAGTTGTGTTGTGACTCTTGGTGATAGCCCCTCTCTTCAAATTAGTCCTGTTAAGCTTGATGGTACTAACTATTTGATTTGGTCCCATTCTTGTAGTCTTGCTATTACTGCCTGTTGTTTGACTGGATATATTACCGGTGACCTCAAGCAACCTGATGATGATGGTGATTTGCATACTCAGTGGGTTTCAAAAAATGCTTTGGTGATAACCTGGCTGATCAATTCCATGCAGCGTACTATTAGTTGAACTTTTCTTTTACTAGACACTACTGACAAGATTTGGACAGCTGCGGCACAAATGTACTCTCAAAAGGGTAATGATGCTTGGGTATATGAGTTATGGAAGTAGATTCGGGGCTTAGATCAGAAGAATCAATCCTTAGTTGCAGGAATCGTGCAACTAGGTAGCGATTCTTAGTCAGAATCGCGATTTCGCGATTCCTAGAAAGAAACGTGTAAGAATCGTGTTTCTGTGGAGAGAGAAACTCGATTCAGTCCAAGATGGGACCGTAAAGGGAAGAGAGAGAGAGAGAGAGAGAGAGAGAGACCCTAGCCTTCGACGTCGACATGAGAGGAGAAAGAAGAAGGGTTGTTGAGAGAACTTATAGTGGACCAGTGCTGAGATTAGGGCTTTGATTGCCTTCGTCACTCTTTTCTCTCACTATCAATCACGATCGTCTTCGTCTCTGAGGGCTTCAATCATCTTCGTCACTCTCGATCGTCTTCGTCTCTCTGTCTTCGTCTCTGTGCTTCTCTTTCTCTCTCTTCGTCTCTACTTCTCTCTCTCTCTCTGTCTCTATGTTTAATTGATCATATATAATACATATAATATATAATATATACATTGATCTCCATCTCCAGTCGAGCTCCATCACCTCTCGACCTGGTAAGTCTCTTCTCTCTCTTCTCTGGCTCGCCTCTCGTCTCGCTCTCTTCTCCCTTGTCTGGCTGACTTCGTGTTTCTCCCCTCCCCTCTCTCTCTCTCTCTCTCTCTCATCTTCTTTTATCCTTTCGTCTCTCTCTCTCTCTCTCTCGCTCTCTCTCAAACTGAAATTCTTTTGCTTATTATTACTTGACTCTTCTCTTCCTTGGCAGCTAGTGGAATCTAGCTGGGTGTTCTCTTCTTTGGTAGCTAGTGGATCCTGTTTCTTGTTGTACCTGTGCCTTGCAAAAAGTTGAATATTTTGTTGAAAATTGTATTTGACCATCCCAAAAGATAATATACTATATATATTAATAAAAAAACACATATCTATGTAAAATAAAAAAATTAAATGGAACACATTATTTTAAAAATATAATAAATAAATAAAATAATTAACGTGTATTAAAATAAAAATATTTATAAAAAAACTTCTAATGTGTATTAAAATATAATATTATATATATATTACTGCTCCCTGAGGCGCTTCCAACCTAAAAAATGCTCCCGCTTCCTCGCTTCCGCCCCCGCTCCCGCTCCCGCTTCATGCAACTAAGAATCGATCACTTGTAGTATATTATGTTGAGTTGAGTAGCTTGTGGCAAGAACTTGATTATTATCAGAGCTTCCAGGCTATTTGTTCTAAGGATACCTCTTTGTTTCAGCAGACCGTAGAGAAGGAGTGTGTTTACGACTTTCTTGCTGGCCTTAATTTGGTGTATGATCGGATTCGTGTTCAAGTGTTGGGTTGCTCTCCATTTCCCACCTTGTGCGAGGCTTATGCTCTTTTTCAACAAGAGGAGAGTTGTCGTAGTGCTATGGTGCACACCTCTCTTTCGGATCGCTTTGCTTTGGTTGTTGCTCCTTCTCCACGAGATGTTCGGTCTACTCAGCTCTGTTTGGTAGTAAGGGTACATTGGTTGATCGGGATTGCTTGAAGTGTGATTATTGTGGGAAGGAAAAACATGATAAGAAGCACTATTGCAAGTTGAATGGTCGTCCTATTCGAGGTCGTGGTCGTGGAGTTCGTCCTCAAGCGCATGTGTCTAAGATTATTGCTAGCACCTCTAGTGACACTAGTACTCGTTCCCAGGATAACCTCCACACTCTCAGGTGTTTGATGGCTGGGCTTGATTCTTCACCTACCACAACTCCTTATTCCAACTTTGCTCACACAGGTATTTTGGCTTGTGCACTTAGTACATCATCTCCTTGGATTATTGATTTCGGTGCTACTGATCACATAACAGGTGCCTCTAATTTTTTTTATTCTTATTCTCCTTGTTCTGGGTGAGATAAGGTTAGAGCGGTTGATGGCACTTTATCCTTTGTATCTGGTAAGGGTTCGGTTCATTGTTACTCATTACTTTCTCTTTCATTTGTGATTGATGTTCCTAATTTTGCCACCAACTTACTTTCTGTTAGTAGTCTTACTACTTCTCTAAATTGCTCGGTGACTTTTTTTTTCGTACTCATTGCGTCTTTCAGGAACTGGCTATGAGGAAAATGATTGGCAGTGGTAGAGTATAAGGTATAGTGTATTTTCTAGATGTTGTTCCTTCTACCTTACCGGTTCCTTCTGCCTTACCTTTGTCATCTCAAGGTCTTAAGTGCACTACCGGCTCCTCTCTTCATTTGCTCCATCAGTGGCATTGTCGCTTGGGTCATCCCTCCTTTTAGAGAAGTGTTTTCTTATTTTCATATTTTTCATAAAATGGTGACTAATCTTTTTAATGCCCAAATCAAAATTTTTCGGAGTGATATTGGGATTGAGTATGTTAATGGAGCTTTTCGGGCATACCTAAAGGAGCATGTCATCCTTTATCAGACTAGTTGTGTTGGTACTCCTCAACAGAATGGAGTTGCCGAACGCAATAGTGGCCATCTCTTTGAAGTTGCTCTCGCTCTCTCTTGTTTACCATGAATGTTCCTAAGTCCTTTTGGGGTGATGATGTTCTTGCCGCTATGTGTCTTATCAACCGTATGCCTTCTAGTGTCCTCCAATTCCAAATTCCTCTTGAACTTCCTCCTGTGGCTTATCCTACCTCGTCTCTTCCTTCTTGGGTCTTTGGGTGTGTCTGTTTTGTTCATCTATAATCTCGTACTCGTGGAAAGCTTGATCCTAAGGTGTGTCTTTATTGGCTATTTTGTTACTCAAAAGGGTTATAAATGCTATGATCCTCATGCTTGTAAAGTGTATGTCAGCATGGATGTCACTTTCCGTGAATTTGAGTCCTTTTTTACTTCTTCTCCGCCATCTCCTCAGAGGGGGAGTGTTACGGATGAGATTGCAGATGAGTTATATTAGCTCGAGTTATCTTTTTTCCCTCCTAGTCAGAAAACTATTATTTGTGATGAGGGAGAGCCTAATAGTTCTCTTAATGTGAAGCCTGACATTGGTGGCCGTTTGGACAAAGCTGATCTTAAGACTTATTCACGTGTTAGAAAGAGCAACGTTCTCTTGTGCTACCAGGGCAATCATCATCCCTTGTGCCAGTTCTACATCCTGTTTCGACTGATTCTCCAAGTAATGATTCTTAGTCTATTTCTCCACCAATTGTTGACAATCCTGTGGTTGATGATTTGAGTCTTCCTATTGCTCTTAGAAAGGGAGTTAGGTCTTGTACTCAACACCCCATTTCTAAATTTGTGTCATATGATTCATTGTCTCCTACATATCATGCTTGTGTTTCGTCTTTGTCTTCCGTGTGTATCCAATAGGGTTGAAAAAGAGCTATCAATGATCCTAAGTGGAAAGTAGCTATGGTAGAGGAGATGCAAGCTCTGAGTAAGAATAACACTTGGGAGTTGGTTCCTCTTTCTAGTGGAAAAAAACCAGTGGGGTGTAAGTGGGTGTTCACCATTAAGCAGAAAGCAGATGAGACGGTTGAACGGTACAAAGCAAGACTAGGGGCCAAGGGGTTTACTCAGACATATGAAATTGATTATCAAGAAACCTTCGCTTCCGTAGCGAAGATGAATTCTATTCGAGCTATTCTCTCATGTGCTGCTAACTTGGGATGGCCTTTACAACAATTAGATATGAAGACTGCATTTCTCCATGGTGATTTGGAAGAGGAGGTATATATGGATGTACCACCAGGATTCTTGTTTCAGTCTATAGTTGGAAAAGTTTGTAGGTTGAAAAAGGATTTATATGGTTTGAAATAGTCCTCTCGAGATTGGTTTGACAGATTTCTAAAAGCTATGTTGAGATTCGGGTATAAGCAAAGCAATGCAAATCACACCATGTTTGTCAAACGCAATGCAAATAAGATAACTATACTTATTGTATATGTGGATGACATAGCTGTGGTAGGAAATGATGAGGATGAAGTGACACATCTCAAGATGCAGTTGGCCAAGGAATTTGAGATCAAAGACCTTGGCTCGTTGAGGTACCTTCTTGGGATTGAAGTTGCCAGGTCTGACAAAGGCATCTTTATTTCTCAAAGAAAGTATATTCTAGATCTTCTTGAGAAAATTGGCATGTTAGGCTACAGACCAACTGATTCGCCAATTGAGGCTAATCGTCATCTTTGTAGTAGTGTTGGTGATCTTGTGGAGAAGGAAAGGTATCAGAGACTTGTGGGAAGACTTAAATGTCTATCTCACACATTCAGATATTACCTATGCAATTGGGATAGTGAGTCAGTTTATGCATGATCCTCGTGTGACTCATTTGGATGCAATGTATCGCATGTTGAGGTATCTTAAATCTACTCCTAGAAAATAGATTTTGTTTTCTAATCATGGTCACTTGAGGTTGGAGGCATTCTTGGATGCAGATTGGGCAGGTTCTATAGATGATAGAAGATCTACCTCTTGTTACTGTGCTCTTGTGTGAGGAAATTTAGTCACCTGACGTAGTAAGAAGCTGGCGGTTGTGTCCAGATCTAGTGCAGAAGCAAATTATAGAGCTATGGTGTAGGGTACATGTGAAATTATGTAACTGTAGTCCTTGTTGAGTGATGTAGGAATTGTCTGTGGTGAATCCATGACTTTGTATTGTGACAACAATGCTGCCATCAGTATTGCTCATAATCTCGTTCAGCATAATAGGACTAAGCATATTGAAGTCGACAAACATTTTATTAAGGAGAAATTGAAGAAGGGTTTGATATGTATGCCTTTCGTGAAGTTTGGAGACCAATTGGCTGATGTATTTACTAAAGGTCTTAGTAGTAAGATCTTTCATCCCATTTGTTGCAAGTTGGGCATTAGAGATATATTTACTCCAACTTGAGGGGGAGTGTTAAGTATTAGGTTATTTGAGTCTAAGGTTATTTTAGTACTTTTGTAATTATGTTTATTAATATAAATACTAGAACCTAAGAACTCTTTTTCCGGCCGCAATTCTCTCTCTCTCTCTCTCTCTCTCTCTCACTCACTCATGGTTCTGGCTTCTTCTACTTCTTCCTCTATAAAATTAACAATATTTGTTAGTTTAGTTCACTTCGGGCACGTTTGATTTTGGGTATTAGAAGGTGGATTGAAAGTGGAGGGAACATGTAGGGCCCACTAGAGTTGTAATTCGGGGTTTGATTACGGAATAAGTGGGAAGGGATTGGAGGTAGGGAACTAGTGGGTCCCACTCTATAGTCCAATCTGGTGTTTGTTTTGCATGCTATTAAAAATTCGGATAATTTTAGTACTAGTATAGAGGATTAAATAGAGGGAAATGAGACATTACATAATACTATAGGCATTGTGGTATTGGAAGGATTAGGCCTCTCTTGATTATTTCTTTTCCTTCATCCCATAGTTGTCAATCCTGTACCGTACTGGCTAGTTCCGACCGGTATGTACCATACCAGAGAAAAATGGAATACAAATAGGCCAATACCGTTCCGGTTAACTTTTTGATACTCGACAATATTGGCCGAAAAATGTAATTCCGGTGGAATTGAACGATATGCAAGCAAAAGTGAATTTCTGAATTATATATATATATATATTATACCAAATATATTACATGATATACGTTGTTGCCTAAAGAAAACAAAACAATACAACTTTGGATGGTTAAATTATATGATTAAATATATTATATGCTTAAATTATTTACTATTAGACAATATTTTTAATACATAGATAAATATTTTTGCGATAAATCCGAAACGGTGCCCGTAAATGTACCTGTACTGGTAGGTACCGTACCAATTGAAAAAACGGTACTTTGTCTGGTACGTGATTAACAACTTTGTTTCATCCAACAGTAGAAAATAATTATTGTCTTTTTATTTCATCCTAACCAAAATACTCATTCTATCCAATCATTTATCCCATGGTGTAATTTATCCTTTATAATCTTATCATATATCCAATCCTTCATCCCATCTAATCCCATGATATAACTTATTCAAATTTTGTAAATTTCAGTGATTTTATCTTTGTTTTGCTATATATTTTTTTTTGAAGCAAATATTTTGCTATGTTGATTGTCTGGAGAGTTTATGATGGTTGAATAAAGTTCTGAGGTGTTGAATTCTGCTTGTGCATTACAGGTGTTGACAGTGTTTGCTGGGGCTCTGCTGGAGAAGCAAATTGTGGTTGTTTGTTCTAATTTGGTGTGTATGATTACTTGCATCATATTGATCATGGTTTTATGTTGGTGAATCGTCCGTTTGGTCTAGACTTTAGTTCTGTTGTAAGGTAGTTAGAGCATTGTTGGTTCCTGTGATCTGAGCATCATTGCCCTTCTCACACTGAAAATAAGTCATAGGACCTATCATATTTGTTGATATAACCTGGTGGCAGATGGTTTGGACAGATTGTAGTTCACATTTCCACATATTTCCAAGTAATAATTAGTCACTTTAGTTGAAATAATGCTTCCTTTTGCACCTCAAAGCAATTTCTTGCGGAATTTTATTTGTACACCTGGATTTTCATTATCTATATGTTTATTTTTATTTGGGTGTCCCTTGATAGAGAGACACTAATGATAAAAATACTAAAACCCTGATTATTTTTTTCAATTGTAATTTGTTTCATTTACAGGGTATATTGTCTGCTATGGTCCTGTCCATAATCCCACTGATTCGTCCTTATCAGTGGCAGAGCTTGTTAATGCCGGTACTCTTCCAGGGAATTCTATTTTTTAATATCTTGTATTTTTCTTTAGTATTCATTTGGTTTATTGTTTCCAATGTATGTATTCCAGGTTTTGCCAAATGACATGCTGGAGTTCTTGGATGCCCCAGTACCATACATAGTAAGTTACCAATTCTGTATAGGCCAGTTAGAAAAGAAGAAATCGTTCTCCAATACTTTAGGCGTTTGGGCGTCTTGTTCTTATTTAGATGGATCTATCATAGAATGTATTTTGCATAGAGCATTGCTGTCGTGACCCAAACCTGCCCTTATAGGTTTAGGTCATGACCGGCCAGTAATCCCAGATTACCTTCGGCCTCAAAGACAAAATCAAACATAATATATTTAATGGGGCTTGGCGGAAGCAATAACAAATGTAAAAGATATTCCATTGCGCTGTGCATAAATGAAAGACCTCGTCATAGTAAAATAAACTTCCATTCTTCTTCCATAGGTTCAACACAACAAATTTAAACGTCTTTTACAAACATCCATACCAAAACAAAATTCAAAATAACCAAAGCTAAACTACGCAAAAGAAGGGTTGACAAAGCTTGGCTCCACTCGAGTCCAAACACGCCCCATCACGGAGGCACTCCAAAACGGCTTCCCAAGGGTGGACTCCAAGGCTTCCTTGGACTTGACGTTCCATTTGCTCACCTATATATATATATAAGGGAGAGGGGTGGGCTGGAGCCCAATGAGTAACATCAATATAAAAGTTTAATGAATGAAGTCCATAACTTTATAAACATAACTTTTCAATAGCCAAATCAATTCAAATAGCAATCATATATTCAATCACATCAAAATCTTGTGTAAACAATAACCATTCAAATCTTTATACATGGTAACATCCAATAGAGTAACAATAAATCTATGTACCAATTCCGATGTGACCATTAAGGTCGATTTGATGAGACCATAACGGGTCATTTGATAACACCACAACGGTAATTCAATGTGGACAACTAAGGTTTAACATCAGAGATCTCTATATTTCAATTAATCCAGTGGGTTATGGTATTGTTTCTCCCAGGCAAGGGCCTCACTAAAGGATGCCACGAATACAATTTTAAAAAGGACATTCATTCATAGGTACAAAAGTAAGATTTCATAAACTTCATAATTGAACAATTTCAAAATACTTTTTAAACATATCTTTATAAAGATATTAGTCACAGTAGGTTGTACCGATATTAAGCCTCAGGCGGCCACGTACACAAAACGCATAATAAAAGCACACATTGAAACACTTATCTCAATCAAATGTTCTATCTGAATTCAATTCCCTTTTATGTGTTTTTAATTCATTTCCTTATTAATGATGTCTAAACAATGTCCAAGAATGCCTAAAAGAGCATTAGGATGAAAACATACACGAGAGTGTGTTTCAAAATGTTGAAAATAGGACAGTTCGCTCGAGCGCACATTTGGTCGCTTGAGCGGCGTGGTTTGCCTGCAAAAGTATAGGATGGTCAAAATGTAGGCTCGATGGTTGCTTTTGTGAATTATGCAAAACGAGCTGAGGTCACTTGAGTGGTACACAAAACTCTGCAAAACTACTGGATGCTCAAAATTTAGGCTTGAGCCAATTTTGGTCACTCGAGCTATTGTGTGGTGTTATGTAAAAATACTGGTTGTATGCAAATTGTGCTCGAGCGAAGACTTTATCGCTCGAGCGAAGTGGTCGAATTTTGGAATTTTCAGAACAAAATTCAAGTTCAAAAACATGGTTTCAAGTCTCAAAAGCTTGCATGGTTGGGCCAAATGCATAGAAACTCTTTGGGAAATATACGAACTCAACAATTTTGAAATCATTTGCTCATAATCTTAGTCAATTCTTCAAAATCAAGTTCAAAACTTCAAAATTCAATCATGCATGCAAGGAATTCAACTTCAATGTTTCTAAAATGTCAAAGCAAGATCAATTGAGGATAAATTCGTGGAAAATTCTCAAAATCAACAAGTATGAACTTCATGCATGTATGAATTGCTGGAATCCAAGCTCAAAAATGATGAATTGGTGCATGCATGACCAAATTTAACTCATAACTACCATATTCAAGTTGATTTTAACTTTTTCTTCTCAAATTCATGTAAATAATCCTACAAACTTTATGAATTCAACCTCTACATGAATTATCTATATGGATTATGGTTGTAGTTCTTACCTAGAGCTTGAATTTGAGGGTTTCAACTCAAATTCTTTCAATCTTCTTCCTAATCTTCACAATTCCCTTCTCTCTCTCTCTCTCTCTCTCTCTCGCTAAATGTTGATTTGTCACCAAAATTCAGCTCAAAAGAACAAAATGTGCTCAATTCTTAATTATAACACATATATAGGCTAGATTAGGTTAGGCTAATTAAGTAGGATTAAGGCTAATTAAGCTAGCTTAAGTCTAATTAATCTTAATCATTTCTCATTGATTTATTCTAATTATTTTAATCCGAATCAAATTTTAATCAAATTTACCATATGATTCTAAATATTCTAATTAGTCTATTGAACTAGTCAATTTTGGTTTCTGAATCCGTTTGGGCCTTCAATTTCTGGTTCGAAGTTGGTAATTTTAATAGATATTCTTTAAACAAACAGATAAGCACAAAATTAAACACATAATTATGCAAATTCTTAAGAAAATTATATAAAAAAATGATATGCATGTTGGGCCGTTACAATTGCAATTAATTGGATATGAAATGAGGAAATTTTTGCTCTTCAATTGCTCTTCAATTGCTCAAAAACCTTACCCTATCTAGGAACACTTGGTAACAAAGAAGGTGTCCTTTAAATCATGTCATATTTACCATATACTATGACAGAATGGGGATGCTATAGCCAATAGATTCTGGAATAGGATTCGCCTTAAAGCACTTTACCCCCTATAGTTCAAATATAGGTAGAGGACCCCTTTATTGTTTTGGACTAAAGTGCAAAGCTAACTGTCTGTCACGACCCCCATCCCACCCCAAATAGGATAGCAATGGTGACCGGCCAGCAGTGCTTGACTACCGAAGGGCTAGCAAGACAAGGCAAGACTAGACTAAAAACATTGGGGTTTATGCGGAATCATTTGTCCATTAATTACCAATAGTCCATTCAAAGCATGTACATAAGTTGTATGAAAACAAAACAAGTTTATCATTTTATTTATCTTGACATTTACAAGTTCAAACAACAAAAGGAAAAGTGCAACATTTACAAACATACACTAAACAAAAACCAAAACATATATACAAGGCTATCGTCTCTAAACCGCAGCTCCCGAAAGTATAAAACAAAAGAAAAAGACTTCTAGCTTGACCTCTCGTCTTGAACCTGTTCTTCATCATCACTTACATACAAAGCCTAATGAATAGTAATATAGTAAAGTGATAAATGAATGAACACCGATAAATTATATTAAAACCACGCACAATATCATTTCAAACATAATATAGTTTTGTCGAGACAAAACAAGCTTAACTTGCAGGCATATACATGGCGATGAACATTCCAAGGCTTTCAAATCAAGAGTCCACAACATGGGGCAAGAGGAGCTCAGTTAGCTAGAGGTTATTGGCATGATTCCCAATAACAAACATGATCCAAGATGTCACCTTAATACATGATACAAAAATATTGGATGTTCATTCATAATAAAACAACATTATAGCTTTCTTAAACATAGCATTGGTTGCATTTCGAATCATAATTTTAGCAAACTTAACTTTACTACACTACTACTCACAAATGGCTCCTTGAACACTAGATATTCTCTTTCGAAGCTGGACCTACATGAGACAAGGACAAAGTATTGAAGTGCCAAACAAACTTATACAACATAACAATTTGAGTGTCTAAACTTAGCGAAGCGTTTTCTTTAAGCTTCTTTCATGTGTTTGGTACTGTTCTAGGCCTAGTTTAGGTCCCAAATAAGCGTTAAATACGTACTAGGAGTATCCTATGTGAAAGAGGCTTCCAAAACAAACTTGTGCACAAAATAGGGAATTTCCACATGTGCGGGGCTCAAACTGCACATGCGGGATGGGCAGGGAACTTGAGCTGGACCTACATGAGACAAGGACAAAGTATTGAAGTGCCAAACAAACTTATACAACATAACAATTTGAGTGTCTAAACTTAGCGAAGCGTTTTCTTTAAGCTTCTTTCATGTGTTTGGTACTGTTCTAGGCCTAGTTTAGGTCCCAAATAAGTGTTAAATACGTACTAGGAGTATCCTATGTGAAAGAGGCTTCCAAAACAAACTTGTGCACAAAATAGGGAATTTCCACGTGCGGGGCTCAAACCGCACATGCGGGATGGGCAGGGAACTTGCCTTTATTTCAGAACTGAATTGGTGAGTTTGGGACCTGGCTGCACGTGCGGAGCTCTCAGCCGCACGTGCGGAACTGGGTAAAACAGCCCTGTTCGAAATTTATTCATGTTCTACTTCTCTTGGTTCTAAGGCTAGGGCTCATGCAAACTCAACCTAAAACATGTAATTTTAATGACAAACATGGAAGTATGATTGTTTTCCAAATCAACAACATCAAAACATAATTTGGTTTCAAGATTCAAAGATCAAAATTCAAGTTTTGTTGAAAATTTCATTGTTTCAAGTTTGTATTCAAACCTTTCCTTTTCATTCCTTTAAAACCTGAAATTAGCTTAAAATCATTGAAAATCAAGGGAATATATGAAGATGAAGACCTAAATGTATCAAGAACATCAAAATCTCAATAAAAAAGATGAATTTCTAAACTTCCTACCTAATTCTTCATCCTAGTGAACCCTTCCTCATTCTTTCCTTCATTTCGTCCTTATTAATCCAAATTGATCCTAATTTTTTCTTGATTTTAGATGTTAGGAGGGTCTACTAAAAGATATGGGATTCACATCTTACCTTGGCTTGGTTAAAGGATGAGTTTTGGTGAAGTTCTTGAATTTCTCCTCTTTTCTCTCTTCTATCAGTCTTTCTCTCCTTTCTTCTCCCTTTCTCTAGCTCCTTCTTCTTTCTCCTGCAGATTTTTCTTCTTTCTTTTTGACTTGGTTTGGTTTTTATGAAGTAAGGCAAGACAAGAAATTATAATGGACAAAAGGAGAGGTGTATGCTTCACCAAATTATCTAATTTTGTTTGCTTAGCTTTGTTAATCTTGCCTATTTAACTTAGCTAAGGCCTTTACTAATTAAGCAAGATCAAGTTTAATCATGCTTAATTAATCAATCCTAATCAAGGCTCACTAATCATACTTAATTAACACTAGTCCTGATTAGCAAAAATTCACATAGCATGAAATAGACAAGCTCATTAGTCTAAGATCTTTAAGCTCCTCAATTAATTCAACAGCACATCCTATAGTTTTCAAATCAAACCTAAAGTCATCCCCTAACTCAAGCCACAAAACAAATCAGTCCTAGACATAAGGTTCCAAACTAACTTCTTCTTCTCTTTTCTAATTCTAATAAGTCCTATTTCACATAAGCATATAATACAAGGACAAATGCAATAGTAACATGATATGCATTATGCATGAATGGTTGGTTGTCGCACTAACTCTGTTAATAACAGTGACAAAATTTTCTAAATACCCTTATGCCGTGTTCTCTTTCTCTCTTCTCTAATACTTATAATTTCCTATCGTAATCACATATTTAACAAATTAAATCATAGATTAACTTAAACACCTTAATTTATTATCATAAGATCAAATCATCAAATTACTTTAATCTAATTTTTAACCTAATTTTTTATTTAATAACATTTTAAAATAAACATAAACATACATTTATATATGTATAACAAATTAAATCTTAAATTAAACTAAGCACCCTAAGTTATTACTATAATTACCTTATTTAATAAAATTTTAAATTAAACATATACATATATGATATATATATATATATATAACAAATTAACCATAAAAGCACCATAATCTAATTTTTAATCAAATTTGTTATTTAATAACATTTAAAATAAAACATGTACCGACACACACACACACATATTTATATATATATATATAACAAATTCAACCATAAATTAACTTAAACACCCTAATTTATTACCATATATTACCTTAATATAACTTTCAATTTTTAACCTAATTTCTCATTTAATAACATTTTAAATTAAATTAATTTAAATTAAATTGTTAATAGAAGAGGACATTTAGGGTTAGGGTTAAGGTTTGGTTTGGAATATGATTTAATTTGGAGAAGAAGATGAAGATGAGGGCATTTTTGACATTTGATCTGATTTTTTACTTTGACTTGGAATTTTTGCATTGCCCACTCTCAATTTTGGAGAGTGTGGTACACCTTCCGTTACTTAGCATAAAAATTGATGGTAGCACTTTAGTCCAAAATTATAAGGGGGCTCTTTGTATATATTTGAACCACAAGGGGTAAAGTTGCCCAAAAATTTATATCATTTATTCACCCGGGATGGTATTTGTTCTGTATTCTTTTGGCATTGTTTCACAATATGACTATAAATATATATTTGTTTTCCATTGCTATAAAAATTATTTGAATTGTCTATGTATTGCATCTTTGTTTTCTAGGATTCTCCATTTCCTTTTTAATCATTGCTTCATGCTGTGTAATTCTTTATTTATTATATGTTATCTCTTTTAACTTTCGTAGCTCTTCCTGACATTTACTTGGTTACAAAGTAGGTTGGTGTAAAGAATAAAACCACTGAAGTGCAGTCAAAGTTAACAAACGTCATTCTCGTTGATGCACAGAAGAACCAGGTGTGCACGTCATCCCTCCTTATAGTAACAACTACATTAAGAGTAGTTGCTTAGCAAAGTAGTAATTGTCCTGATATGAGCTTGTTTAAGTGTTTGATTGGTTAAATGGGCTGTTGTTTTATTCGCATAGTATTAGATTTTTAAATCTAGTTTTGTAAACAAATTCACAAATGAAATAAGAGGGAGAATTCCTGTTATTTATAATTATGTCTCAACTAGTTGATGGACATAGGAAGAATTATGACATGCACCGAGGTACATGTTCATAGGACAACGATCAATGATTTAAAAGATGTGGTTAATATGAAATATCTGATCCTTTCTGTGAGCTTTATGATCAGTCTTGGTTAGATATGGGATGTCCGTGATTGGGGGTTAAATATCATAGTTAGAACATTAAATTTCCTCTGGAGTAAATTTGACAATCAACATTGATTTGTTGACATGCACATGGAAGGCAATGTGGGCCTAAGTTGAGCAAAGTTCTAAAATATGCTAGATTAAGCATGCTTACTGTTACCGTGCCCATACTAGCTTACGATTGCTTTCTTTTGCATTTTTACATCACTTCTTTTTGCTGCTTTCATTTTGTTGTTCATTGCCTCTTATTTTTGTTATAGATAAATATTAGACTATTTAGAACACAATTTCAAGCTCAACTATCTTATCTTTCTCTGACTGCATGAGGCAATAGGTAAGGTCTTCGACAATACCTCAACTACCCCGACAAAAGGAATTATATTCGTCCTTAAGTCCTTACCATGCAAAACTCGTGGGAGAAAGTTACTTGGGGAGAAAAAGACCAGTGTATCAATGTACTGGTGTGCAGGTATGTTGTTTTACATGATCACCCTCACCCCCATTTTTCAATTATATTTAACTAAAAATTCGCCTATATTATATGTTGATGGTTATCATAGTCATTGAGGTCCTTTTTCTAGTTTAGGTAATATTTTAGTGCTAAGATGGGATGATCTGATGAATGCTTCGCTTGAACTATGGAAGTGCTGGGCCTTGGAACAACTCAGTATTAACTGATATACAGAGAGAATGCATTAGATTAAGGCACAAATAATGGGTTTTTTTATGTATTATAAATTATAGCCAATCCTACTGGCGTGGGACACGGCTTAGTTTGGTTGATTGGTTGATATAGACGATAAAAATACTTATCAAAACAAAGAAAACACTTCAAAATTTAAGTCATTTACTAGCACATTGATCTGCCACTGAAAAAGGATCTTAAGTTGATCCTTTTATATATTTTTAACTGATTTTCCAAAACAAATATAGAACATGGAACATTATTGCCTTCCCAATTCACTCTCCAGATGAGTTGGGAGCTGGGGCAGCCTGCGCGTGACCCATACCAATCCTACGCTCCTTTCTCCTATTGTTTCTTTGTGAGTATTTTATTTTTTTAGTCATTCGCTCAATCAGCTCAAGTAATATAATTTTTTGTTTCATCTTTCAAAGGGAAAAGGTGTATGGTTGATGGTAAAATTAATTTAAGGAAGAACTTGATATTGTTTTATCACTTTTTTTGGTGGCTACTGTAGCCAAATATGTATTTGTTTTGTGATTGATTAAAGTTCTTATCAAATGCTCTAGATGACTTAACTTCATTGCTCCTTGCTTCATAATGATAGTCCTAATAAATTCTTAGTTCAGATGAATCATCTAAATCGAAGCTCGCCGGTATGCTTAAAGACACTTACCATATTTGATGCATAACATTGTAATTCGAAAGTTTTCTGGCGGTGGCTAATCATGGTAGCTTAGGACTGATCAAATGGACACAAAGTGTTCCCTTTGTTAGAATAGGAATTAAGTTAGAATAGGAAATGCGTGATTGTGTGATTGTGTTTCCTTATATTATGCCTTATGGCACTCCTGTAATTACTCAGTATTATCAATATAAAAGGGAATGAAGTCTAACTCATTCCCTAACTTTTTGAATTCTCTAAACATACATGGTATCAGAGCCTTAACCCTAGCCCATCCCTCCTTACCTCTATTTGCAGTCCTGTCTTGAGTCCAGGAGACCTGCCAGCCACTGTGGACCCTCAGACAGTCACTGTCGCCCCTCACCTAGCCCAAACCACACCTCCGCCAGCCTTGCCCAGGCCTTCGGCAGTTCATCTGGGCTTCCCGACAGCCTATTCGGCTTAGTCGGCAGCTTCTCTGAGTCCCTAAGGGCTTGTCGGCAGTCCTGCTGCCTGTCTAGGGGCTTGTTGACTGTCCCGTTGGCTTTCGTGGCTTTTGTCGACATATGCGTGACTCCTGTCGACACCTTTGAGCCTCGGTTTCACTTTTGGTTCTGCCTTTGTCTATATTGATTGGATCGTAAATACCCTTTACTTCTCTTTTAATTCTCTTTTAAAACACACAGAAAAAAAAATGGTGACGTAAAAAAAAAAAAAAATGGCTTCTTAAATTCTTTATGCTTTTCAAGTTTTTCTTGTATTGGTTCCTCCACTCTCGTCTTTCGGGTTTGTGATTGGCTTTGTGATTGAGGACTAGTGAGTAGTTTTCATGGCAGATTTGACTAGTGAATCTACTACCTATCATCCATCGGGTTTGTGATTGGCTTTGTGATTGAGGACTAGTGAGTAGTTTTCATGGCAGATTTGACTAGTGAATCTACTACCTATCATCCATCTCAGGGCGTGAGTTTGGTTATCCCTTCTCCTATGACTGATAACCTCAACTCTGGCCTTAAAATCACCACCTCTCTGTTTAATGGTTAGAATTTCCTTGTGTAGTCACAAAGTCTGACTATTTTTCTGAAGAGCAGAGGGAATATGAGATATGTGGATAGGAGGGTTTAGGCACCCAGTATCACTGACCCTCATTATGACTAGTGAGAGATCACCAATTCTCTGATTATGGGTTGGTTGATCAATTTTATGGTTCCGGAGATTGGAGAGGGCTACTTGTCTATGGACACTGCCCAGGATATTTGGGAGGTCGTAGCTACTACTTATTCCAGGAAGGGGAACTTCTCACAGGCTTTCGAGTTACGTCGCTCCATTGAGAGGTCGGTGCAAGGTGAGATGACTATCCTCCAGTATTTTACCTTCCTTAGCAATGGATGGAAAGGCTGATCACCTTTAGGATTACAAGTGTAGCAACCCTCACCTTACTCTTGTCATACTTGCATACATCCATGCATGATCTTGTCTTGTTATGTTGTTTTGCAAGTCTTGCCTTGCCTTGTTTTGTCTAAGTATTGCTTGCATGATTTTGTTCCTTGCTTGGTGTGTAGCCGAGGTCATCTTGAGCTTAGTTCACCTCTGAACCTTGTACTTAGAACTGTTTTGGAACCACATGGTCGACCCCCATCTTCGCCCCGGGTATGTTTACCGAGATGTTTTGCACTTAGTAATCCTTGTCCTTGGGCAGGAATGGCCTAGACCGAGGTGTGGCACACCCCGGCCAAGGTGTGGCACAGCTTAGTCAAGTGTCGTCCTCCCTAGCCGATGTCTTTGTTACCCTGTTGCCGAAGCTTTGACTTTAGCCGATGTCATTACTTGCCGATGTGTCTTGCCTTAGCTTGCTGCATACGCTTTGTCATAGACTTGTCTTATCAATCAATCACCTTTTGAGTCGAACCAACCCAGTAGCGCCACGTGTCCGAGCTGATTGTTAAGACAGCCGGCAGTCCTAGAAACAAATCATTTTGTCTCAAATCCTTGCCTTTAGAGAGAGAAGCTCTAGAGTAAGGAGGAGAAGTTCTTGAGTGAGATTAGATCTTCCAAGCTTGATCTTCGAGGTTTGAACCGTTGGATTCTTCACTCAGAAGGAATTGAATTTGAGACAGAGAAGGTGGCTTGAGTTGTTGAAAGACTATGATATGCAAATTCAATATCACCCAGGTAAAGCTAACAGCGTGGCCGACGCTTTGAGCAGGAAGTCAGATGGAAATTTGGCGTGTTTGACCCTGATTCATAGACTTGTCTTATCAATCAATCACCTTTTGAGTTGAACCAA